CTTGCAGTTGGAGGTATCAATAAAACGGGCAAACTGGAGTCCTGATGTGCAGTGGAAGGCGCTGGCTGCTGGGAGGTCCAGGGCCTGCCTATCTCCGGGCTGGAGGGTGTTATTTAAGCTCTGCTCATAGACACTGTAAATGAAGGTGGGAAAGTCACCTTACAGGTGAGGTTTGATCTGGCAGCTCCTCTGATGCGACTCTGGGGGAGGCAGAAGAGGCCAAGGTCAGGCTGGGATTCATTCACTGCCTCCCCTGAGAGCAGGAGGCCTCCAAGGACCTGCATGCACCACCATCTCCTTTTCCATGGGGTGGGATTGATGGTCATAGCAGGGGTCCTGGCCAGGGGAGGAGCTGAGGAGCAGCAAGGTGAAGTGACCCACATCCCAAGGCTTTAAAGAAATCTAGTTACTTCCTTTCAGCCAGAACTGCCATCTCCCAGGAAATCATCAACATGATGTACACAAAGGGAGTGAGGCGCCCACTCTGTGTCCTTTAGGTCTTTTAGAAAACATGGAGGTGTTTCTTTGGCCACATCCATTCGACTCTAGAAGGTGAGATTGTAGACATCAACCGGATGGGCGCTATTCAAAAAGGAATGTCCTGCAAGTGTTACCATGGCAACAAGGGAAGACTCTACAGAGTTACCCAGCATGCAGTTGGCACTGTTGGAAACAAACAAAGGGCAGGATTTTTGCCAAGAGAATTAATGTTTGTATTGATCGTATTAAACACTCTTAAGAGCCGAGCTAGCCTTCTGAAGTGCGGGAAAGAAAGTGATCAGAAAAATACAGGAAGTCAAAGGAAAAGGTACTTGGGTTCAGCTAAAGCACGAGCCTGTGGGAAGGTGCCCGAGTTGCTGGGACCCATGCCCTATGAATTCACGGTGTGATAGGTGTAGGGAAAAATAAATGAGCTCTGGGTTATAAAAAAAAAATCAAGATAGTAAAATTCAAACTGAAGTCTGCTCCCTAGCAGGGTGAGAGCAGGAATACTCTAGAACACTGTTGTGCCTTGAGGTGAGGTAGAACTTTCTGAGATGACTGAAATGTGCTGTAGTCTTGTCGTCAGTGGCTCTCGAGCATTTGAGATGTGGCTACAGCATGGAAGAACTGATTTTTTAAATTAATTTTATTTTCATTTAAATAGCCACATGTGTCTAGTGGCTACCATGTTGAATGTAACAATTCTCGAAGAGCAAGCAACATTTTAAAGGAGTGAAGTTGTGAAACAAGAACAAATTCAGGGGAAAATATAGAGGGTCCAGGTTACAGGAGCCAAATTCCTATCTCAAGGCACATAGGAGAACCATCTGGAAATCATCAGAAAAATCAAACTACCTGGACCCAGCCCAGGACCACCCAATCAGAATCCTTTTGGGTGCACATCTTTCACTGAGAGCTACCAAATTCACTGGTGGGAGGAGAGAGCCAGCTGATAGAAGGCCTTGGCTGCCATCCTCATGGGCAGGATGAGAGAGGAGCGCTTTGGGCAGGATTTGTGGCAGCCTGTGCAAGATGTGATGGAAGCCAAAGGTTGGGATTGTTCCAACAGCTAAGTGTTAAACAACTGGAGTGTTCATTTCTCCTTTGCAGTATGAGCATGTGAGCATGTTCATTTCACTGGGAGCTGTCCATATTCTTTCCTGGACTGAATATTTGTTCAGAATGCTTCTTAGCAAGTGGTTGCAAGACTCCCATCCCACCAATTGTTATGGTAATTGAAAAATTATAGTCATTTCCAAGGGCCCTGTAAGGGGGCTCTCTGTAGTGAAATAGAGGAGCAGCATCCATTTGGAATTTAGTGCAATGGCCTGCCTGGAGCCTTGGCAGGGACCTACACATAAAAGGGGATGACTCGCCTTGGAAGTAAGATCGCTGGTCCTGGAATCTGCCCTCTGCCCTCCACGACCTGCTTCGGAGCAGCTTGATCAGTCTTAATGGCCGGCCACGGAAACTAGGACACCAGGACTGACTCAGACCCAGCTGATGACTCACTGCCCCTCCTTTCATGCCTCAAGTAGGAGGAGATGGCTTTTGAAAATTAAAAAGGAAAAGTAAAATACAGTGTATATGAAGTGCATAAACTAACAAAATGCCTTTTACAAAGGAACGAAGTCCAAAGTCAGCCTTTCTAATGGTGCAGGGGAAGATGTGTGGAGGGATAAGAGACTGAGAACCTTGATGAGCTCCTTGGAAAATGGAAGGCTGGGGCTTTGGGGTGCTATTTAGCTGCCGGGTGGCATCTTGCTCCCATGGACAGATCATCTCTGCCAAAGGAGCGTTTTCTCTGGCTTCACACATAAATGCTGCTTTTACCGATCGATCAGGATGTAGCCAAATGACAGCTTGGCCCTCCCCGCCCTGTCCCTGAAAGATCTGCACAGCTGGCGTGGCGCTGTCTTCATTGTTGCTGTGCAGGCTGCCCTCTGCCTCGCTCTCTCACCTCTGTTTTGCTATCAGGCTTCCACATATCATATGTGCATGCTTTTATTATAACTGGTCATCTCCTAGAGCAGCAGTTCTTAAAGTGTAGCCCCAGGACCAGCAGGACCAGCCTCCTCCCCTGGGGACTTGTTAGAAACGCACATTTCCCGGCCTCTACTTAGACCCACTGAATCAACAACTCTGGGTGGGGCCCAGCAGGTCTGCACGTGATCCCCATGCGCTCTCAACTCGTAGAGGAAAGGATTTCTTCGGGTCTTAGGTGGAGGGTCTAACAAAGAGCTCCCTTTTGCCAGAACAGGCAGCTGCTTCTCTTTTCCTCCAGGGGGATGTGCAACAGCGGGTCCCAGCACAGGCAGCCATTAGTGGGTTCTTCCATAAACACCCTCCGCCACTGCCCCTCCTCCCCACTTAGTGGAGACCCAGCTGCCACGCCAGTGCATCTGCTACAAGGTTGACTTTGGGGGCCGAGGAGATGAAAGTGATTTATCACAGGCCAGTTTCCCTTCCGTGACCGGAGAAATGAGCCTGAGCCCAGCAAGGCTTCTGACCGAAGTGCACGGCGTGACACACGGTGTGAGCTGACTCACGCTGCCTTTGACTTTTCACTTTGAGCAGGAACCCTGTCCTAAGCAGCCCCGAGTTAGTGGTACTCGTTTAAAAATTCCCAGTCTGTTTCATCCCAGTCTGTTTCGTGATTTTGACATATGCGGTGGGATGGCACTTTCCCCTGATCCTTTCTTTCCTCCTTCCTTAGGAGGAATCCTCGGTAAGAGAGGGAATCCTCAGTAAGAGAGGGAAAGGGCCTACAACCCTGTGCCCAAGGAACTGAGTCATGGGAGGAGGGGCTTAATATTTAGCATGAGAAGGGTTTTTCTGTCGTAGAGCTGTGATCTGGCCCGCTGCCTGCTTTTCTAAATAAAGTTTTATTGGCACACAGCCACACTCAGGGAAAGGGAGGGCAAAGAGGAAGAAATGGGATAAGAGAACAGACAACTCTGTGAAAGAGACTCAGAGATTGAGGGTGAGGGGGAGAGAAGGGTTGCGGAAGGACTCTCTATGCTTCTCCCCACAGCTCTACTCTACCAGTCCATGCTGGACTCAGTAGACACAATACTACTCTCCTCATTCTGAGTGTGAGTCAAATAAAGATTTTTATAAAATGTGACCCTATATCAAGTCATCTATTTCATCTGCTACTCAACTGAAAATCAGTGATCTGAAAGGAGAACAGGCCGCATCAGAGTTACCAGGAGAAAGTATGAGTCTCCCATGCAGCCCTTCCAGACGGTTCGCAAAGGCAGTCTTGAATATGAAATGTAACTTTTGTCTTTTGAGCTGACTGGCTTTGATCCCCTTGCACTGCCTCTTGTGTTTTATGGGAAACCATAAACGTATTCCATTGGCAGGGAATTCTATACCCATTAAGTATTTTACTTTCAAAGGATTAAAGAATCAGTTAATGAAAAGTCCATCTTTATAGATGTATAAAATTTCCCTATATGCATTCTTAAGACTAGATTGTTGAATATTCATAGCCACCTTGCTAATTCCCCTGATGTCAATTTCACTGGAGAAATTGGAGTTTAGAAAATTCTAATTTTTTTGCCCAGCTTTTCATCTAAGAATTGGTAGAACTTGATTCAGACCTTGATTCTCTGAGCCCAAATTCCCTGTTTCCCCCACCAGACGCAAAGTAAAAACAATGGGGTGAAAACAGAGCTGTGTGTTACAATTTAGAAGGCTAATTTTTTTAAAGTCAGAGTCTAATGCAAAACTTGGAATGCCCAGTTTTACTGTGATAGGATATCTTTGTATAATTTCTTCCCCAAGGATATTTCCAGGTCCCCATTAGCAAACAGGAATTGAGATCATTGCTTTTTTTTTTTTTGTGATCCACTCTTGTCCTTTCTTGGCTGAAGATCACTTGAGCTACCACCTATATTTTATAGTTAGTAATAATGACTTAGGTAGTCACTTCTTGGTATAAACTGGAGCGGGTGTTCTTTCTTTCTTTTTTTTTTAAATGCCATATCTAAATATGTGTAAGCAGGACGTGTGAGCTCCATCTCAAAACCTTCCTACCCTGTTAGAGAAAAATTGTAATGTTTTCCTCAGCTTGCCAGAATGTCATTGTTCTACATCCTATCCATCTTGTCTGATCTCACTGCTAGCATTTTCTGTAAAGAACACATTCTCAGGAAGAATGCTGATATAGTTCCTTTCCAGTTCTGATCCTGCTTGTCTCCTCGTCCCCTCATTTGTAATGATTCATGTCTCCAACAGTAATGGCTTTGACGGATATCACTTCTCGTTTTGTGGTTACATTCCTCCACCTTCAGAATGTGGTTGCATTCTGTTCCTATTCAAGTCTCATTTTGCTGAATGTTTTTTACTTCAACTAAATGCTTTCAGGAAGCTAGAATTCAGCTCTGCACGCTATTGGTGCTTTGTTAGTGCAAACAAAATATACATCTCTGGGAAAATACAGGGGATCCTAGCATTGTTGTAATTTTAAAGACTGTTGGGACATGATTGTTGTTTGTTTTCTATTTCAGAGATCCCAGAAGACCCACTTATAGCTGAAAAGTACTATGCTGATGCATTTGATTCCTGTTCTGAGGAGAGTGAGGAGGAGGAAGAAATAGTGTTCTCAGGATCAGAGGAAGAGATGGAGCCTGAGGGACCTCAGCCTGCTTATAGATCAAACCAGGTATGTGCTGCTCCCCAGCAGATGTAGAACTGTCCAAGGTGCTGATTGGGCCATAACTTGCAAGAGTCAAGTCTCATCAACTCAAGTGGGGTTGGGAGGACTAAGATTCTGTCCCAAAGGATCCATGAGACAAGTCTTGGTTTAAATAAATCCAAAGTTAGGAAGAGCCTCATGGAATCCTGAGATTCTGTTATCGACTACGTTGGTGAGGGAAGTGTGGGATCTCTGGCACTTGGGGGAGATGACAGGGAGGAAGATACACATTACATTGTACACTGAGGAGCACTCCATATACAGTTAATGAATAAACAATACAAGTGTCTCTTTATCAGGGAGATTTTTTACAATATACTTTTTACAATATGCTTTTCACATTTGTGAATCATGTTCCAGAACACAAATACGTTCTGGGCTTAGGGGATGTGCTTTTGAGGGCCTTCCTTACATATACAGTGAGGTCTTTGAGTAGGTGCCTTTGCCATAAATCTCTTTAACTATAGCAAACTAAGCCCCATCTGGGTCATAGACCAAGAAAGAGCTGTGGCATATGATTTCTCTGTTGGGTGTCTGAGGAGGAGAAAAGCAAGAGGTATGTGAAGAGAAAGCAGATGACTTTGGGCATCTTTTATGCTCATATGCTTCACTTTTTCTTTTTTTTTTTTTTTAATAGAGGCATGTTTTATTTATTTATTTATTTGTTTGTTCATTTGTTTTGTTTATACATGCACTGGGCACAGTCAGAAGCGCGGGAGGGTGAGAGAATTCACCAGAGCCAGAGCGGGGAGCAGAACAGGCAGAAGGACCGAAGTACACTGCTGAGGGGAGCAGCGGGTGGCAGGAGAGGTCTGCGCACCATGTGGGACCCTCCTCCGGTGGCCGGGGAGCAGCCGGGAATCGAACCGGCGCCGCAGAGGCTGCGGGCAGCTTCGCAACCCAGCGCTCTACCGCTGCGCCACCGGGGAGGCCCTTCACTTTTTCTTATGTCATAACCTAGGAACCCTTCCAATCCTGAACTCTCATAAAAGTACAGAAGCTCTCTATTATCTGGGAATCATTAAGCTGTTAAAGTAAAAAGTCCATCAAGAAACATCCCCTATCAATGGAAACTTAGTCTAGAAGAAACTTAATCTAGAGAGAAGGCTGTCCACAACCCATTCAACCATTTTAACCACTTTATTGAAGACTAAACAGTCATCACCATATTTAATAAATTAGACAAGAGAAACTTTCAAGTTCTGCATAAGAAATGGAGAGAGGGAGGCAGGAGAGGGGAACTGGAATGGTATGGATACAGAGCTAGGCAGAGAGAGGATGAGAGACAGAGAGAAGGGGGAAGAGAAAAGTTGAGAGAAGTTAAGAGAGAAATAACTGAAGAGAAAAATAAATATGATAAAAATAGTCAGGTTATGGGGGGAGCATGATTTACCATGTCAAAACAGGAACACTTCTCTGTACTCTTTCCCCATTTTGTCCAGTCGTTGTTGGTAGACAACAGCACTTCCTACCGCAAATTGAAAAAAAAATTTTCTTTGTGTCTACACCGCTGTCCTAAACACAGAGACAGAAGATGATCACACTGTCATACACCCTTCACTCAGTGCCTGTGGCTGTACGACACGATCTGTAAAACACATGCTCAGTTTTACCCAAAGCATCAGGCAGTAGCATTTTACCCACTAATATGATTACTTTAGTGTGTTTTTTTTAATAAAATAGGAAAACTGACTCAGCAAACCCCATGAATAATATATATAATGAGCACCACCTGGGTCAGGAAGTAGAACTGTGCCAGCCACATGGAAGTCCTGACTTGGGCCTTGTTGTTAGAACATTGGGCTGGGGATTGAACTGTCTACGTTTCATCACCCTTTGCAAGATACTTAACTTCCCTGTACCTCAGTGTCCTAATCTGTAACATGGGAAAATAATGGTTTCTACTGCACGGAGTAGTTTTAAGAGTTAAATTAAGTAATTAATGTAAAATACTTAAAATCCTTCCCTGAATGTAATAAATGAATAATGAGACATTACTTATTACTGCTGATGAAGTTACCGAGCCATCCTGTGGCCTTTTAGGATGCTGTCAGAACTCTTTAATGTTACAGTGAGACCTTACAGCTGTGGGATAAACATCCCTTCTTATGTCTTAGGGCTGGTGATACATACAGGACAGCAACTCTGCTGCCTAGACTATGTGCTGCTCCGTGGATTGTAAATAATCTTGGGTGTCTGCTCTTATCCCTATTTTTCCAAATGAGAAAACTGAGTTTCCAGGAGAGATGACATGCCTGTGCGAGAGAGGGGTCAGAACCCTGCTCCAGGCCCAGCTCTAGCACCTTCTAAGAAGGTCTATTGACCTGGAATGGACTTGGTATAATAGAAACAGGAGCGGAGAGTCACAACAGAGTGATTTATATTAGCGACAGTAATTACCCCCCATTTGTTTTTCCTAGTAACTCTATATAATTTCCCCCTCCCCAAGGGTGGTGGCCATGGGGTTGCGATAGGTGTTTGACTCTTCCCTCTTTGTGTTATTTTATCAGCCACACAAGTTGCATTACAGAACTCTGTGCTGAGACCACAGCCACTCTGGGTTTGTGACCCTGCAGCCATCTCCAGTTTGATCTCTTCTCTCTCTGCAGTCTTGCCCTTGACACTTCAAACGGTCTAGGGTCTATTTTAAATGTTCATGATATCCAGTAATTGGACCACAGTGGCTTCCCCTTCCTTCAGATGGGGGTAAGAGCCACCTCCTTTTTATTTTAATGGAAGATGTGCTTTTAAAGAGCAACATGGGCTTCCTTGGGATTGATTGCTGAGTCCCTTGTGCCCCCCACGACAATCTTTTCAGCAGCACCATCCCTGGGCAATTTTATTAGGCCCTATTGTTATTGCTCCTCTGCTGTGATCAGCGGAGCATCAGCCACACCTTTTTCACAAGCCATTATCATATTGTTGATGGCATCTTGTGAAGTCTGTGGTCACTGAATCAGAACCAGCTTCTCAGATCCCAGGAGAATAGAGTTTATAGCTGTCATCATAACACGTCCTCAGCAGAATTTGTGGGGCCTGTCATGGAAAGGTGTTACATACGCCCTAAAGGACGTGTTTTAGGGCTCAGACTGAGGGGTGCTTTCGTGGATGCTCTGTCTTCCCCTTACTGCCATGACCATCTCTTCTCTCCCCAAGACTAATCAGTGTCCACACGCCAACTGCATGCACAGCAGTCGGACTGTGATGACCCAATGCCGACGCCCTTGGGAAGGACTGTTCAGTGAATATGGGTTTTCACTGATGCTTGTTTTAGAAGGCTCTTCAGACATGGTGTTTGCTCTTGCTAAGAAGGAGGGCTGCAGAGGACCATTTTCCCAGTGAATTCTGAAGTTTTCAGCACATTTCTCCCATATCCTTCAGGGGTTTTGAAATTCCCTCTAAACAGTGAAGTATTAGAAAAAGCAGCAGTGATCTGCTGCTTAGGACGGTGCCGATTATAAATGGAGACAGGCTAGGCAAGGCCTGAGCTGCTACTGAGGACCCTTGGATCAGACAGTCAATAGGGTGAGTGCCTCTCAGAGTGTCCTCTGCCAGTGGAGTCACATTATAGTCGCTTATCACATTGTAATTATTGTAACAGTAGCAGTTGACCTTTCCAGAACCTTCATTCAATGCCCAGTACTTTATATGGGGTGTCAGTGAAGCTCTGGGAAACAGATGCAATGCAGAACTAGATGTGAAAGTGAAGTGCCTGTGAGGTAGCAGCAAACCATAATGCTGGGCTGCACCTTTGAGAGGAAGGAAAGGTGGGTGAGGACATCAGGGATGCAAGTTTGTAAAGGTCTTGGCCAGGTCTATAGGAACCCCAGGACCAAGACTGCCCATTAGAGAAGTCCACATTGGGCAGGCCTAGCCTGGCCCTGGTATCCCCACTATGCTCCCACTGGCTGGGAGCTGCCTGGGAAGAGCTTGGCTGCCTCCGTGGCGCCCGCAGATGTGTCCCTTCTTTAATTCTTGCAGTGATCCTTGACCCGTGCATTCTAGTTGGACTTCTTTAAACTAGAATTTAACTGGCCAGGATTCAAATAAGGGGAAGAGCAAGAGTGAGGAAGACAAGGGTGGGAGAAAGGAAGAAAAGATGAGTGAAGGCGTCAGGCAGAAGTGCCTGACAGTGCAGTGTAGTAGTGAAGGCCTTGCGTGAGAGTAAGCTGAGAGCTGGACGTCCAGAGTCCCCCTCACCCTGCATCTCAGTCCCTGAGAACCTCTCATGGCTTTGAATCATTGCTCTCGACTTATATTATTCCAAGATACATGTTTTTCATACACTGGAGCCCCTAAGTGAAATCACTATTTCATTTGATCCTCAAAAAAGAAGCAACAGCGGAGGATCTGTTTTCTATAACTGATTGTCCTGTTAAGCACGCACTTAAGACCCAGGTCCCTTGAAAGATGAGACTGTTGCAATAACTTCACTTTGTGCAAGAGGAAACAGAGGCTTCGTCTGGAGAAGGAACTTCTCCAGGCCACACAGCTAGTAGGTAGCGGAGCCAGCTGACTGGCTCTGTCTTTACTTTCTTCTCCCTGCACAGCAGTTTGACTTAGTAAACACACCAGGTTCGAGAAAAAGTCTGAGGAGCTCTGCATTTATCTGGACCTGTTTTTCTGACAGTGTTAATGAGTTATGTTCAAGGCAAAATATGTGCTGTTTTCAGAAAAAAATGCTGCGTTATGAAAATTCACATCAAAAAGAGCCTGCCTCTCACATCTGTTATGGAATACAGATTTCTCGCCTGTTCCCCTTTGTTAATTTATTTTTTTTTCTATAGAAGGTGCCAGAAATCTTGAGTCTAAATAGTAGAATTGATTTACCTGCTGTTTTGCATGATCTGACCTAATTAATTTCATATATAGAAGCTTCTTTGCCTTGAATTGATCTTAGAGGTGCCAGCATGCAGGGACCCTACTTCTCCATAGCAAGGTAACACATTTAGAAAAAGGCTCCTCTG